GATTTATGGCAAGCCGACGTGGTCGAGATGCGTCCTTACGCGCGATTCAACAAAGGTTACAATTACATTTTATCAATTATCAATGTTTTGAGTAAATACGCATGGGCTATACCACTCAAGAGCAAGAACGGAAACGATGTGGCCGCAGCGTTATCTACAATATTTCGTGAGGACGAACGATACCCACGAAACCAGCAAACGGATCAAGGAAAAGAATTTTACAACGCTACCGTGCAGAAAAACATTGTTAAGAGATACAACATAAATCATTATTCTACGTATTCAGTGATGAAAGCGTCGGTGGTGGAACGATTCAACCGTACACTCAAGAATAACATGTGGAAAACGTTCACGTTAAACGGTTCGTACAAATGGATCGACGAGCTACCGCGTCTATTGTCAGATTATAATCATCGTAATCATCGAACCATTGGGATGCGACCGATAGACGTAACATCCACCGTTGCAAAACGACTCTTGTCGATGGTATACAGTCATGTAAAAATTGCCGCTTCAACGAGGTTCAAGATAGGCGATCCAGTACGAATTAGTAAATTCAAGACAATTTTTGAAAAGGGTTATACACCTAATTGGTCCATCGAGATTTTCTACATCGTTAAAACACAACGTACGAATCCTGCAACGTATCTACTGAAAGATTATCAAGGGAAGCCGATAGCTGGTGGATTCTACGAACATGAATTACAGCGAGTCTCCAATCCTGACGTTTACCTCATGGAAAAAATACTACGAAAACGAGGAAATAAAGTGTATGTAAAATGGTTAGGAAGGGACAGTTCACATAATTCTTGGATAGATAAAACGGATGTATTGTAACTTTTTATTTTATTTATTACAATAAAAAATACAACACATTACAGAGGTATTTTATAATGTCCCCAAGGTAAAGTAGTGACCGATTCAGGTACGACGTACCGCTTATAATCGTACGGACTAAGAGCAAGCTTCAATTCAGACACTGTGTAGATCTCGTGCAATGTCGATCGTATGCACGACTGACGTCTCGACTGTACCGTTACATCGTTCAAACATCGCACATAATCGTCGAAAGTGATCGTTTTCGCGACTACATTTTTCTTGACACCCTTTATTCTCTTCGTATCGCTCTTTCCAATCACTCTCAACGCTTACACCTTCGCTCTGAGTCCAATGAATTCCGTCATAATCGCACCACAATTTTCATCTTTCATCAAACCGGGTATTTTATTATTAACGCGTGGAATATCATACGCGTTTCTCTCAGGATAATCACTCGTATCGAATCTCGCGATATCACGCTTGATGTCCTCGTATACATTCTCACACTCCAGAAGATAAATCAAGCTGTCAGTGTCCGTGTACAAAATCTTACATGTATCGCGATACAATGGTATTATGTACTCATAGTGAAATTCGTATAGACGCAACTTAGCTATTTCGAGAATACACATACCTACGTATATCGGTTTATTCATTTTTACCTCAAGTTTGCGCAATTCCACAGCAATTAGATTTTCAGAAAAAATACTTCTACTGTGAAAATCCGGTTTCGCTATCATCGCTTCCGCACCCTATCTCCCATCCCAACGCGTTATAAGTCGAACGTCAACGTGATCGCGTACGTTCTCAATCGTTTTTCCAAATACCGCGTTATTCATCAATTTGTAAAGATTCTTCTCGAATTCGTTATTCGCGAGCATTCTAAATCTCGTATTAAGTTCGATATATCCACGAAGCCACGGGGATTGGGCGAATTGTAATATACGATAAATTTTTGTGATACGGAGACCATGATGAATACATTGTTGTAGATTGCGATAGTACACGACATAGCGCTCCTTATCGTAAAGAGTGGCCAGCAGTTTAACATTCCGTTTTCCGGGAGGTCGTTCGCGAATGGGGCAAAATGGAAGATCAACATGAGCATCGTGAACACTTTGTGGATACGCAAGGTCGACTTCCAGAATATAACCGATAACGGAGTCTGACGACACAGACATTACGTCAAAGCGCTCGATGTCGTCGACCCATTGAAATTCTCCGTACGGTAAAGATTCGGACATCGCCCAACCGTACAAATTATTCACGTCGAAGTACATGAGGTACGTCGAGGGTTCCGAAGGATCGTACGAAGATGCGTTATACTTGTTATTAGCTTGCGCGTATCTATGTGAACATTGACTCAAACCACCGCGTACACCGCGTTCCACAAACATCACCATATCAATGTCGGTGAGTAATTCGAATCGAATACCAGTGTATTTCAGCATAGCGTCCCACGTATATCCCGGTAAAGTGTAATAATACGCTGGATCCAATCCGTAACTCTCAATACACGTATCACGAAAATTTTCGAAAACGTCTGCTAATAAAAGCACATCGGTCTTGAGATATAAATCACTGTAATCACCGAGAATCTCTACGCAAAAATGTCGCCAAACGTTCGTCGCGTGTTGATAATCATCATCGGAAGCAGTCTTGTCGGTCAAAGAACTATAAAACAGTTCACGCGGTGGTAAACTAATCTCATTTAGCTTATCAATATACTATCGATATACTCATACGGAAACACTCCTTTCCGCGTAAGCAAATCGAAATCCTCAGCGTCAAGATTTGAAAATTCCGATCGTATAATTTTCAATTTACTCTTGTCGAGATATGATACCAATTTCTCGAGACTAGTATTGAGAAATTTGAATGAATCCACAAAACGCAATTTCAAACAGTCCGTTCCCCACTTAGAGTTTGCTGTATCTTTGACATGTTTCGTAAACGATATATATTTTTCTCTCGTTATAAGTAACAAGTTGACTCTACCCACAAAACTATTAGCAATATCCTTTATGATAAAATGTGCATCATAACCTGCCAAGTTATGAAAAAATATAGGAATAACGTACGTATCATGATACTGTAAATTACAACGTGAATGTGCAGGATCTCTATAACGTCCGGTTAAATGACAGTGATCGCGTACGCGCAAATCTCCTTTCTCAAATGGTCTTTCACAGATATGACAGTGAGTCGCGTTTCGAAATTGTTCCCACTCGACTTTTGATGTAAACTTCGCCATAGCCATATTCTTATCAAATATCGTTTTCGCGCGATGCGCCAAATCATATAATTCCTTGACAAACCATGATACGCAATCCTTGCCGCGATAAGATTTGTATATCGACATAGTTTCGTCGTGTACACAACGTACGTAGTACCCTACGCTAAACACCTTGTGATGTTGATAGGTGAATCTTGACATGTTTTCATCGGTGGTCTTCTTCGCCAGTATACACTCCAAATCAGCATAAACGACAAAGAGAAGTCGCTCCTTCTTATTATGACCACGGAACGATAACCATTTGTCGTTCTCGTTCGGAAGAATAATAGCACATTCGTTCGTCGTAGTACAGTCAACGATGTGAAGCGACAATTTCTCGCTCGTAGGAAAATAATGTAGACATCTGTAAAGTAACAAGTCATACGCGTAACACAGCTTTCTTTATCGCTATATATACAACTAGTATACCTACCTATCACACAAATGCTTCTTCTTCGTACTCTTACTCAATTGTGAACTCATCAATCGTGACATATTTTTAATCCATGCGAAATGACCGATGACGTTTTCATCGTTGCGTCTTGAGTCTTGCAGATACAACAAGTTTACATGTTTCTCTTTCTTCTCTTTGGTAAGACGAAGGGAAACGATTACATTACCATTGTCTCTTTTTTTTCCACCTCTCTCTCGCTCGGTAAATACGTTGATAGATATATCGTTCAAAAATTCAAATTTCGTAATTTGTTTTAATGTAACGGGAAACTCGATACCCTCAAGCTTCACGGTAGTATAATCCGGATACGATGATTTTCTATTTACGTTTCTTTCTGCAGGGTACAGAACGGCAACCACTGACCAGACGAAACACGCATTGTCCATCGAACGCAAATTATGCTGAAGAAGGCGGTTGATCACCGCCTTCTTCAGCATAATTTCTCGCGACAGCTCCACCCAACATCCCACATGCATAGGATTATACTTGTTAACATTTACAATCAGATTCGATATACGTGACAGCGCCCATCCACTCTCACGTTCCTGAAATTCCTCCAGTGCTGCTAAAATATCATCCGTCACGTGTTCATCGTACCATTCTCGCAGATCGGATGTGTTAAAAAGCTCACAATTTTTCGTAGTGATACTCTTAGCAGATCTTTTAGCATCCGCGACGAACTCACCGTTAAATATCGTATTTACTTTTAAACAATTATGTCTCTGAAGATTATCGCGAATCCGATCGATAACGATATCTCTCACGTCGTCGAGAAACTGTCGAGGTTCGATGTAACTCGAATTCAACACCACACCAATTCGCGATTATTAAAAGCTGTTTCGATCTCCAACCATGAAAATCCACTCTTTTGCGATTCGACACGACCAGAGCCCACGTGTTCAAAACGTTGTCGTAAAACATTTCTCAAACCTTCCAATCGTGCTAGTCGAGCGATCGATGCATTTACGACTCCGGTAGATGTTCGTTGATGTTTACTGTTTCGACACGTCTCCCGCAAGAAATCGAGACACTCGTCGCATTTTTGCTCCCATACCCGATATATGTCCATCGTATCGATGCTCGTCGCACGATTAAAAAGATCCTCCACCTCCTCATCCATCTCTCTATTATTAAAAAAATTCCTACTCTCACTTACACATGAACCAGAGCGTTTCACCACGACTATCTGTAGGTATATCGAATTTATTTTTTTCAACGATCCTTCTAATTTAGACAATAGATAAAAAATAAAGGCTCTCTAGAAATAATCTGCATAAAAATCTTTCAATGCCTATTAGAGCCGACACAGGATATAATGTGTAACAATCAATTTATTAATAATTAAAAATTTCATTAAAAATTTATTAATAAACACTAAAATTATATCATTGTGACATAGGTAAACGTTTCGACCCTATTATTTGGGTCCTCTTCAGTACCAAAAAAAAAAACCACAAAAAAAATTTTTGTATAAATAAATGTGTAGAGTAATTATGTAACAGCAAGGTTGAAAGTTGCGAAGATTGTGTCCATTATAAATGCATGACAAGAATTTGGCAGAATTGCTATGAAACGGAGAGCAAAATGTTAATAATAGAAAAAGATTAAAAACAATTTAAAGAGAGCCTGTCATCGAATGAGTAAAAAATTGCAAGACTTACATGTCATGAATAAGGAAATGGGCTGACGCACATTTCAGAGATGCATCCCGTCATTAATTGAATAATCACTACACAAATAATGAAATATAAAAATTTAAGAACGAATTAATGATAAATTATGCGTAAACGAAGAGAGCTTACATGACGATAGATTTGACGCGAACTTAACCATCAGAAGTCACAGTTAGTAATGAGAGATTTCAGAACAAAGTCAAACAGACGAGATACATTTCGTAAATACGTCAACCAAAACAACACCGATAAATCGAATATAAAAGTAAAATCGGTAAAGGAGAGAAGTCTGCGCAAATAAACGTATAGTCAAAGCTATAAATAAATTAAACGGGTACATACAAAAACTTAAAAAACATAACTGAGATTAATACATAATATGAGTCAACGCAAGTAAATGTATAGTCAAAAATTAAGTAAATTAATAATAATTAAAAAATGTCAATAAGAATAAAATTAAGTGCAAAGGTCTGAAATTGAAAAACTCAAATAAATATACAATTAGAGTTATAAATAAATTGAACTGGTACATAACAAAAACTTAAAAAATATATAAATGAGATTAATACATAAGGTGAATCAACGCAAAAAGAACAAAATATATATATATTCAAAA